CCGCTGGTTTATTGTTGTTTGAGTGTGCCTGATTGGAATTGAGAATTAATGTTTATTGGAACATTAATTCGAATCCAACGTAATTTAATTTATTTAAAAAAAACTGGTCGGGTTGTTTCAATTCTAATTAGCTTCTCTTTCTTTATTTCTCTTTTTCCTCATTAGAGTTCATCGTCTTCTTCATCTATTTGAAAATCAATCTTGTGCAAACCCATATATTTTAGGGTCAATCTAGTGAAAACCTTAAATCCCATCACCTCATATCCATGAATCACCATAATTCAATGTCGTCCACTTTTCGTGACCATCGACGAATCAATTTGAGACCCAGAGACTGGTATTAGGGAAAGAGTGGCCTTATATCTTCTTCGGCGAGTTTAGCTCTCCGAAAATCCAAAACACAGGTTCGATTTCTATATTGTTCAATAAGTTGCAAATGTTTTTATCGCCATTGCCAATCTAGTCTTGTTTGGTTTGATTTTGAAGCTCTTTAGCATAATTTCATACAGATTTACTTTGAAGAGATGGTTGTGGGAGTTGGATCTGCACAGTTAAATTTGTCAAGAGTGTTCGGGGATTAAAGAATTCTATGTCACGGACTCATTTAGAACACAGATTGAGAATATGATTTCTTTAATGCAGTTTATGTTAAGCTATTATTACAAGAGAGTTTCTTTGCCAAAAAAATTTGAACCCTTTTTTAGAGTGGATACAGTGAGCTATATATAGTTCTACTAAGTAAACTAGGTCAACTAATAGAATTGGCTTGATCCATTAAATAATATATTAAATTTAGACCCATAATTTTATTAAGCCCATTTTGTATATGGGTTTAATGTCATTATAGACCTAGATTTAAACAGGGCTTTTGTAGGCTTGCTCTGATTTCGTCAGGCTGTTGTAGAGTTGACCTCGTCGTTATATCGATCTCATAGGGGTAAAATTCGAACCCTACAGTTAGCCCTCCAGCTTGGCAGTATCGAGTTATGATGATGTCGAGGTGAAAATTGATGAAGTCCAAGATCGATATGTTGGACTATGAAACTGCCAGGCGTGGATGTCTTGTCACCGAACTCAGAAAGTTTTTGTTATTCCATGTTGAGCTGGCGTTACTGTGTTTTCCTCGACTTGTTATTCTTTTTACTTAGCAGAATGGTGAAGTTGATGATTTTGCTTTAGTAATAGGCCTTAAAACTCGCTGGAAACTTTTAAGGCCTTATAAGCGAAATAACTATAGGTAATTCTTCATACCCTCTCTTTCCTTCTTTTTGCTTAAGTTATTAGTGTTTTATCTTGTTTTTTTTATTTCACCATCTCAACTCTGCCGCTCTTCCACGCCGCCACTCCCCCATTTATGTAGCCTCAAAAATACGGTTCACATCCATGGCTCATCAACAAATGGTTCAATGCAAATCAAGCTTTAAATTCAAAGAAACTTCTGGAAGACAATCAATTAATTGATATATCAAGAAAGTGTCTACATGCAAGGAACCAATCTCCATTAATG